AAAACCCGCTTGAAAGGGGGGGCCCCCTTTTGGGTGTTGGTTGGTTTTTTTGGCCGAAAGGCAAAGAATTTACTTTTTTTTTGGGGGGATTTTTTGGCCCTTTGCCCCTGGCCTTTGGGGGGAAAACGGTGGGGGTGGTTTAAAAGTTTTCGGGCCTCCCAATGAAAAAAAAATAAGTTGAAATTTGGCAAAAACAATGTGCCAAAACCCCCGGGGGTGCCTTGGGGGGTTTCCATTTTTCGGGTGTTTCGACGTTTTTTGGAGGGGTTTAACCGGGGTTTCCCCCCCCGGGTTTTTCCGCCCCCCCAATCCCCTTGGGGCCCCCCCCCCCCCCCCCCGGCGAGCCCCCTTTTTTGTTGAGCTCTTTATCGTCTGCATTGTCTTACCGATGTTCTACATACGGTATTTTATTTATGTTCTGGTTCTGCCGTGTGTTTTTCACGCAGCTGTACTGCACGTGCGACGACATCACCAAGACCGTCACGCCGGACTTGAAGCTCAAGGGTACGGGACGGCTGGTCTACATCGACCTGGGGGGCGGCAAGGCCAGGGTCGGCGGAAGTTGCCTCGCACAGGTAAGGCATGGGATTCGCAAAGGTTACGATTTCTGCTGTGTGGCGGAGGAGTTTGGGAGGAGTGAGAGGGGAGCGATGGGGCGGCAAAGGGAGGAGGGGGGGGTTGTACTGTGTAGTAGTCGGCAGCTCCCCCCCCCCCCTCCGCCCTCTCGGGGACCCGTGGTCAACGGTCTAACAACTATTACATGGAAAACTTGAGAATACGCCCCTCCCCCGCCCCGCATCAGCCTAGAGTGTTGCAAGCAGGCACCTGCACTGTAGGCAGAAGGTCCCTTCTGCATGCCCATTTTGTATTCACGCGCATCCCAACACGCTACAACCCTTTGCAAGTTTACCTTTCGCGGCGGCGTGTTGCGTGTTGTGCTGTGATTATTTGGTTCAGGTTTACGGGCAGCTGGGCGAAACGCCTCCCGACGTGGAGGATTTCAAGCCGCTGGTGGCCGCCTTCAAGGCTACTCAGGGCCTTCTCGACAGGTGCAAGTTGTGTACTTGTGTGTGTGTGTGCTGCAGCTCACCGCCCGCATCCCGCAGCGTATGGTTGTTCGTGTCCATCGCCCTGCATATGTCAAAACCGTTGTGTCCCTTCATGTCCCCCTCGTCCCCCCGCCGAGTGTCTCTATCTCACGCTCGTGACGTATTGTGCTCGCCAACGTCCCTCCTCTGGCCTTTTCACACACACCGTCCTGGTGCGATTTACTCCGTTGTTATGTTTTGTTTTCGTTGTCGAAGGTTTTTGGTCCACCGGCGGCAGGATTCCTCCGAATACACACGACGACAGCAGAGCAGCGAGTGAACGGCTACCACAACAAGACCGTATCTACACCCAACCAAATCTCTAAACCCGCCTCTCTCATCTCCCTGTCTCTCTCTGTCTCTCTCATCTCCCCCTCTCCCACCTCTCTCTCTCTTGTGTTTCTCCATCGCCCCTGTTTCTGACACAACACAACTCGCGTGACGGGCGGATGTTTTTTTTTTTTTCCAGCGGCGCGATCTCTGCGGGACACGACCGCAGCGACGGAGGGCTGGCGTCCCTTCTCCTGGAGATGGCCTTCGCCGGGGAGGTCGGGTGCGGCCTTGAGGTCGATGTGCCCGTCGTTGCCGGCGGCGAGGGTGGGGTGCTGGACGCGCTCTTCAGCGAAGAGGTGGGTCATGTGTAGGCCTTCCTCTTTTCTCTTTCGCACGTTTTTGGTGGGGTCATCGTCGTCCTCGTCGTTGTGGTTGTTGGTGGTGGTGGTGCTGCTGCTTCTGCTGTTGTCGTGTTGAAGCCGGTGTTGTTGTCGGTGGTGCTGCTATAGCAGTGTTGGGGAGACCTTTGGTTGCTGTTGAAGTTGCTGTTGACGTCGTCGCTGTTGAAGTCAGGTATACTTGTGTGCCGTCTTCAGGGGAGGAACTGCCCAACAGAATAACAACGGCAGTCGTGCTGCACACACACAGGACCTGTTTGCTCGATCGAGACAAGTTCCTTTTTAGCCGCATGCGGAGTGCCTTTCATCGGCGATTGTGCCCTCGCGGCCGTGGCCCCCTCAGGTAACGATCGTCAATCAGCTTGTTTGCGTCTCACCTTGAATCGCCGACATAAATACGTACGGCAGCAGAACCTGAACTTATGGCGTTTCAAATATGTTGTGTACTGCTTTGGCCTCTCGTTTATTGAAGGTGGGGTTCGTGGTGGAGGTGTCCGAGGAGCGTCTGTCGGAGGTGATGGAGGCCTACAAGGTCGCCGGGATCAACGCCGTCGACATCGGCAGGGTCACCGACGACGGGAAGGTAACTATATACCTATGCCTATCACGGGAGCTGCTTCAAAAGTGCTGCGAGCAGCAGATATGTCGGGCTGAAGCAAGGGCGGGGGAGCGGTTTTCAATACTGCAGTTCGTAAAACCGACACCAATACCACGTTCGTTCGCCTCCCAAGAAGAGGAGCGGCTCGCGGTTTTGCTGTCTTCGTGCGGAAGCCCCCCCACCCCACCCCGTCTCGT